GCGCAAGCCGCGCCGAGATAACCCAGATCCCGTGCAAAGGGCCTGGGGTCCCAGGCGGGAGGGCGGGGCGCGACGGGGTGGGCGGGAGACCCGGGGAAGGTGGTGGCCTTTAGCCCCAGACCTGGAGGAGGAGGAGCCGGGAAGGGCAAGGGAGAACAGGCCCGCGAGGTGGGAAGGGAAAGGGCCTGCCGAAAGTCCTTGGAGGCCGGAGCAGAGCAAGGGGGCCCCGAGGGGTCTTGGGGGACACTCGGCTCCTCTTCCTGTGGTCTAGTCGCGAGGGCCCAGAGCAAAACAGGGGTGTGACACAATATCGCCCCAATTCTTTTGTTGCCGGAGCTGGGGCTTTGACGTTTGAGCAGGAGCTCAGAGCTCCCACCGAGGAGGCCCCTGTGGGCTCCCCAGGCACTCACACAGCCCGCGCCTTGCAGGGTGCGGGAAGAGGAGACACACCAAGGCCCGCAGGAGCCGGGGAGCGTGCGGGTGCCCCGGGGAGGGTGGACCCTGGATCTGCGCCTCCCCCCCCCCCCCTTAAACCACATCTCTAGGGCCAGGCCACCTTCTCTGGTCACAGTGTCCCCTAAGCCTTCCATGGTGTGGCCGTCCCGCCTGGACAGGAACGTCGAGTTGTGTTGTCAGGGTGCCTCTCAGTCTAGGACATCCCACTGTGCAATTAAAACCCAGGGATGGCCGCGTGCTGGCGGCTCTCACCTGAGATTCTAGCTAATCCTAGCTTGGAGGCTGAGATCTGAGGATCACGGTTCCAAGTCAGCCCAGGCAGGAAAGTCTGAGACTTTTTGTTGTTGTTGTTGTCAGTCATGGGGCCTGAACTCTGGGCCTGGGCGCTGTCCCTCAAGTTGGTCAGCTCAAGGCTAGTGCTCTACCACTTGAGCCACAGCGCCACTTCCGGTTTTCTTGTGGTTCATTGGAGATAAGTCTCACAGACTTTTCTTACCGGGCTGGCTTTGAACCGCAGTTCTCAGATCTCAGCCTCCTGAGTAGCTAGGATGACAGGCGTGAGCCACCGGCACCCGGCTCCGTGAGACTCCTATCTCCAACTAACCACCAGAAAGCAGAGACAGACAAGCTCTTAGTGCACAACAGACCCCACATGCAGCCTGGGGGGGTAGAGGGGTTCCGGAGACTCTCATCCCAGCAGAAGTCCCAGGCCAGCCTCAGTACCTGCCACCCCTCTAGCCAGCCAAGGGGAACCCTGGGCAGAGATGGCTCTCAGGCGCCACGCCGTGGCCACCCAGGGAACAGCGGTCCTGTTAGGCCTGGGTCTCTGCTCCTCCTCCTCTTAGCCCAAACCAGTTTTAAGGCCTAGGGTCCCACTGCCTCTGCCTCCTGAGTGCTGGGGTTACAGGCAGGAAATCTCTCTCCCACCCCCTGCCCCTCTCTACCTTTTCTCTGTTTCCCACAAGCTTCCCTTCCGGAGACTCCCCATTTTTCCCCCTATGCTGGGGCTTGAACTCGTGTCTGGGTGCTGCACCTGAGTTGTTTTTTTTTTTTTTTTTGCTCAAAGCTGGTGCTTTACCACTTGAGCCACACCTCCACTTCTGGCTTTTGCTGATTAATTAGAGAGGAGTCTTAGTATTTTCCTGCCTGGGCTGGCTTCACACAGGAATCCTCAGGTCTCAGCCTCCTGAGTAGCTAGGATTACAGGCGTGAGCCACCGGTGCTCAGCTCTTGATTGAAAACTTTGACACCTGAGTAGTACCACAGCAGGAAGGGGACAAGCTGAAATGTGTGCGCTCTGGACATTCCTGCGAGATGGGCTGTGAGGGGACAAAGGAGCCCCCAGGAAGTTTGTCCCAGGGCCTTAGGCAGTGACAGAACCATCCCCCCCCCACCCCACCTGTTACAAGACAACTATAGCAATCACTTAGTGTTAACTTAGGCTTTATTTACTTGTCAATTGTGGGGCTTGAGCTCAGGGCCTGGGTGCTTGAACTCAGGTCAATCATGGGGCTTGAACTCAGGGCCTGGGTGCTATCCCAGGGCTCTTTTGCTCAAGGCTAACACTACCACTTTCAGCCATGGCTCCACTTAGGGTTTTCTGGTAGTTCACCGGAGATAAAAGTCTCACACTTTCCTGCCCCGGCTGGCTTTGAACTGTGATGATCAGATGTCAGCTTCCTGAGTAGCTAGGATGACCAGCACCAGCGATGGGCCTTGGGCTTTATTTAAAATGAATGCCTGGGATTCCCCCGTCTAGGAAGAGCCCAGCTGTGGGCCTGAGCCGGGGCGGCTGCAGGTGGACGGGCGGTGTGACAGGACGCAGGGAGGGCAGACACGCGTGCACTTGATGTAAGTGGAAAACATTGTGGAGGACACCATTTATCTGATTTTGCCAGGTGCTTTTTTTTTTTTTTATTGTGCCAGCATTGACGTTGGGGCCTGGGGGTCATCCCTCAGCTCTTCAGCTCAAGGCTAGCGCTCTACCACTTGAGCCACAGCACTACTTCTGGCCTTTTGCTTATGTGGTGCTGAGGAATCGAACCCAGGTCCTCGAGTATGCAAGGCAAGTGCTCTACCACTGAGCCACCTTCCCAGCCTGCTGGGCCTTCATTTTTTTTTGTTAGTCATGGGGCTTGAACTCTGGGCCTGGGCGCTGTCCCTCAGCTCTTCAGCTCAAGGTGAGCGCTCTACTACTTGGGCCACAGCACCACGTCCGGCTTTTTCTGCTAACGTGCTGCTGAGGAATCGAACCCAGGGCCTGCCTCATGCATGCGAGGCAAGCACTCTTATCACTGAGCCACCTTCCCAGCCCCTTCATTGTTTTTCTTATCCGTCTGCAGTGTGAGTCTGAAGGGCGTCTGGGGCGAGGTGCCCTGAGTCCTGCGACTCCCATGGGCCCCACTTGCTCCGCTGCCAGGTGGGCAGACACCCAGGTCTGGGGCGGCTCTGGGGAAAGGCAGGGGGACAGCGGGCGCAGGGCCGGGGACCAGGCGGCTGCGCTTGAATAATGTCTAGGCAGAGCGAGTCATGAGCGGAAACCTTGTCTTAAAAACAGCAGAACAAGAACACGTTTATTAAAAATAAACAGAACAGTAAGTTCACATTGTGTTGCGCTACACACGGCAGGATTGGCTTATTTAAAAGACGCCCCAGGTCAAGGCTGCACCGCCCAGAGCAGCGCCCGGCCTCCCCAGGCATGTGCTGCAGGGTTAGTAACGGCGGGTGAAGTGGGGGTACGGGTGGGGATGGGGGGGTGGGATTCGGCCGCCCCGGTCCTGGCCGGCCACGCCACCACCTTCCAGGCCAGCCCCGGGAACCACGTGGCCCTGTGGGTGTCCGCCGTGCACGAAGCCACCGCGCCTAGGAGCAGAGCATATGCTCAGTCCCAGCCCGGCCCAGCCAGGCAGCGGTCAATGGTGGGGATGTGGGGATGGCAAGGACCCCCCCCCCCTGCCCCAACCCACCCGCTGCAGGGAGGGGTGTGGTCCGCTCCTTACCCGGCCACGCCGCCCCGACTTGCCACCATGTGTCCCGGCCCCGAGGGCCCCACCAGCCCCCGCTCCGCGCCTGCAGGGAACACGGCCGTCACCCCGCCGCCAGCTCCGGCGCCCCACACACCCATGGGCCCACCCGCCCTCACAGTACCTGGCCACCGCGTGTGTTCCCGGGCCGCCGTGCCCGTGTCCACCGGGCCCTGCCACGCGCGCACCTGCGGCTCCTCCAGCCGAGGGTTGTGCTCAGCCCACTCCCGCGCGCCCCTGGCCGAGATAGACATGCAGTCACTGTCCCGCGTGGGCAAGCCCGTGGGCAGGAGCCTCACACCTCCACCGCCACGCAGTCCACATCCACAGACAGGAAGTGGGGTCATGGGAGCAGGGAGTTGGGGAGAGGGAGGTGCAGGTTGTCTTCTGGGGGTGGTGGAAATCTAAAGTTGACTCAATTGATCGCTGAAAAGGCCAAAGGTGGGGCAGGGCGCAGGGCCTCGGCCGCAGCCCCGAGGCCGGCGCGGCACTTCCAGCAGCCCCAGCCACACGGCCAGCCGGGCGCCAGTGGCTCACACCTGTACTCCCAGCAACCCAGGAGGCTAAGATCTGAGGATTACAGTTCAAAGCCAGCCCAGGCAGAAAAGCCGTGAGACCCTGATCTCCAATAACAATAACAACAACAACAACGAAAGAAGCTGGCCTGGAGGTATGTATCAAGTGGTAGGGCATCAGCCCTAAGTCTTCAGCTGAGTGAGAGCATGAGGCTCAAGGGCTGGGTGTGCACTTGCCCAATATGCAGAGGCCCTGGGCTCCATCCTTGGTGCATGCGCACACGCACACACACAGGAGAAACCCAAGAAGAAAGGAGCATTAGCGGGTGGGAGCTGGGGTGCAGGGTTTACCCCCGCACGGCTCCAGGTCACGGCTGAGGCCGGGCTCTCCCTTCCCCCAGCAGGGGAGGGAGTGACAGAGGGAAGGCTCAAGGCCGTGCAGGTGGCTCAGAGACCCTTGCCAGCCAGCCCAAGGTGGCCAGAGCCCGTGCTGTGTGGGCAGCGGGCGCTGCTCCGGTGCCTATGACCCATGCTGCCCAAGGCCAGCCCCGACAGCAGGGACTATGTCACAGACACTGGGGCCCTTCCGTGCTGAGCGGGCTGGAGTTTGGGGAAAAGCCCACAGGGAAGAGCCTCCTGCCTTCTGAGTTGGGGCAACAGGTGCAGGACCCCCAGAAGCCTGGGCAGCCACTCACCTCGGGGGTGGGGGTGGCCCCCGGCCTTCACTCATCCTCTTGTCAGAACCATAGCCTCCCCAGGTGTGGCGGGAGTCTCGGCCATGGCGCTCTGGTCCTCCGTGGACATGGCGGTCATCTGAGTAGTGCTGGAAGGCAGGGAGGGACAGGATGTCACCAGAACTGTATCCCTGTCCTCTTGAGGCCTGGGCAGAGCCAGGCAGGCTGCCCGCCTCCGGACCCGAGGACTGCATGAGCGCCAGCGGCCCGCCCGCCTCACTGGCAACCCCCTCGCTGTGCCTGGAGCAGGACAGGTTCAGGCTCCTTCCTCTGCCGCCCTTCACAGGCCCAGCCGCATCATCAGAGGACACTGGCCTGGCTCTGGGCCTGGGGGCAGGCACAGCAGCTCTCCTTAGAACAGGAGCTGCATGGCTGGCATGTCGGTCAGGTGGGCATTCAGCTCCACCTTCGGAAAGCAGGCCCTTCATGGCTGCCGTCTGGGCACGGGGCCTGATGGGCTCCTGACCGAAAGCCTCCCCACGCAGGACCCGTCCTCACCTGCCCGTCCCGCTCTCCCATCACCGGCCTTGACGTGTCCCTCCTGCAGCAAGAAGAAGATGGAGCTGAGCCGCAGCCCTAGCCCAGCACCCGGCCCTGGGAGAAGATCCAGGGAGAAGTCCTTGGTGGGGCTACAAGAGGCCCAGATGACTGTGGCCTCTGTCACCAACCTCCCACTGGCTCCGCTGCCCCCTGCCCCAGGTCTTCCATACAGGCAGGCCAGGTGAGCGGCAAGACAGGAGCCCTCCCTCACATGCCAACGCAGGGCTGCCTGCTGACAAACCACGTGGCCCCCACTAGGGCCTGCCCTAGCTGGCCTCACCCCACAGCCTCCCGCAGAACCGCGATGGACTGTGACCAGTGCCGGCCAGGCCACGGCCCAGAGCCCCGCACAGCCCCGCTGGCTGACCCTCCAGGACTCCCTGGGGACCACACCACACCTGCTGCCACCGGGCAGCGCTGCAGCACCTGTGTGGGCGGGGACGCGAGCCGGACGGCGGGAGGGTGGCCCGCTGACCTGTCTGCAGCGTGGTCCTGGTACTGGCCGCGGTCACAGTGGTCAAAGTCGTGGAAGCGGTGGTCGGGCCGGGGGAAGCCTGGGCGGTACCTGTCCTCCATGGCCGCGCGCTTGCCTTCAGGCCAGTAGGCGTCATCTCTCCTGGTTTTGTTGTAGAGAGATGTGGATGAGGGATGGAACAGAATGAGGGGGAAACGTGGTGGGGGGGACACAGCGGAAGGGGGGACACAGTGGAGGGGGAGGGGTCCTCTCCAGACCCAGGATCATTTCAAACATCCTGCTGGGCTAATCTCTACATCCCATCATTATCACTTTGATTTGATGAATTAAAACCCCCTGAACTGCCAAGAGGAAAAGACTGCTGTGAGCAAATGTTCTCCCGCGGCCGCTCCCTGCCTGCGAGCAGAGGTGCGGGGAAGGAACGGCCGTTCCTCCTGCCCTGCGGTGCGCGTGGCCGCCGCGGTGCCACCTGCCCTCCCCATGGGTTTTGTTAAGCGGGGAGAATTAGAGCAGCGCTGGTGAACTACATAGAGCTCAGGAAGGAAGGCGCCCAACTGCCATCCTCCCCACTTGCAGCAGAAAACAAGGCTCATGGGGAGGGGAGGATGGCTACTGCCAATTAGCAGCTAGGGAAGCTGGAGACCCATAAACCTACTTTCTGCACAGAGGGGGCCGCCGCCTCCGCCAAGGCCCATGTTCTCCGCCTCTGGTCTACCCAAGCATGCCACAGGCGGCCAGAGCGCTTGTGCCAAACCGGTGCATCTGGGAGATGCAGTCAGGACCCATGGGGCAAACAGGGGAAGGACAGAAAGACAGAGCCTCAGCTGGACGCTGTGGCTAATGCCTGCAATCCTGTTAAGCAGACTGACATCTGAGAACTGCAGTTCAAATCTAGGACAGGAAGAGGAGTCTGAGACTCTTGTCTCCAATTAAGCACCAAAAACCCAGAGAAGCTGTGGCTCAAGGGGTTGAGCAACAGCCTTGAGCAATAAAACTAAAGGACAGTACCCAGGCCCTGAGTTAAGCACCAGTAAGCAGGCACATGAGCACGCGCAGGCGCGAGGCACGCAGGCGTGCAGGCAGCCGGGCCCAAGTCTTGCTCAGCAGCACTTACCGGGCTTCCAGGTCGTAGGGCCGCCGCAGCGCGCGCCGCTCCTGCTCAACCCGTAACTGCTCCTGCTGCCTCCGCAGCTCCTCCCGCTCGCGGTGGATGCGCTCCTGCTCTTTGCGGCGCTCGCGCTCCACACGCATGCGCTCCCGCTCCAGCCGCTCGCGCTCCATGCGTTCGCGCTCCAGGCGCTGCCGCTGGCACTCGAGCTGCAGCCGCTCCCGCTGCAGCCGCGCCTTCTCCTTGCGCTCCTGGATGGCCTCCAGCCGCTGCTCCCGCTCCCGCTGCTCCCGCTCCCTGCCAGAGGACGGGCCAGGGCTGTGAGCTCAGTGAGCTGGCGCTACCCCACGTTCCCCAAGTCCAGCCTGGCCCCAGGGCCGCTCACTGACAACCGTCAGCTTGCAAGACCTACGGCATGGCAGGGTGTCTGCTGCCCATGGGCCCAGCCCGGGATGAGGGACTGGGGCGCAGGTGCACCCCAAGTCCTGCCCTAGGCTGGCAGTGAGAATTTTCCCCGCACAAGGTCTCGGCAGCAGCAACGGGCTCCGCTGGGCTCTGCTGCGGCTCTCCCTGCAGCATCTGAGAGGTGATGAGGGAAAGGGGACCCTACAGCTGCAGGGAGGCAAGGCTGGCACACCTGGCACTGTAGGAGAGGTGCCCAGCTCTGGCTCAGCTTCCTGGTAAACTGAGGCAGCTTGGGGCGGGAACCCCTAGGACTCCATACCACCAAAGCCACAGCTTGGACAGTGCATTTTGTGACCCTGCGCAAACCCAGAACAGGATGGCCTGTGCTTGTGCCCCACAGATGTGGCGGTGCCTGCAGCTGGGAAGGACAGCCCCCCCCCCAGATCCCCAAACTCCAGGCCAAGGTGCTCACCGCCGCCGCTCCGTCTCCCGGATCTCCCGCTCCCGCTGTCTCTGGCGCTCTCGCTCCCGCTGCTCCTTGATCTTGTCGAAGGAGAGGATGTCTCTCTTCTCTTTGCTTTCTGACTTACGATCCTGACTCTTGGAGCTCTGTTTACAAGATGGCAGGGTGACAAGAGCCTAAACACTTTAAAAAGGGCCTCAGCTATGTCACCTGGGCTGAACTGTCACTCACGGTCCTCCTGCGTTAGCCTCCCAAAGTGTTCATGAAGAAATGACGCATACTGGAGAGGAATACTCCTGTCCAATATGCATCCTCATAGAACCAACCTGGTGGCACAGCCTGTAATCCCAGCAGGCTGAGGTGGAGGGCAAGCAGAGCTCAGGAGGCCTCAGCTGCATAGTGCGACCATGGAGTCGCAATCCCACCTCTGTCCCTGTCTGCACAGCAGAGACCCAGGCTCCCTCCATGTCTGAACTCACTACTAAAATGCAGCAACTTGCTTGCCCCACGCACAAGGGGGCACACAAAAACACCAGCTGCAGCAGCATCCACACAAGTCACAGCCCACAAGGGGGCAGCAGTGGAACCAGCCAAGAAACTGGGTTTCACTACGCAATGACTGGCTTAGGCCATAGCCAACCCTCAAATCAAACTGGCTGTAATTTTGTGTGTGTGTGTGTGTGGGGGGGCAGTTCTGGGACTGGAACCCAGGGCCTGGACACTGTCTCTGAGCTTTCGTGCTTAAGGCTGTCACTCTACCACTTGAGCCAGTTCACTTTTGGATATTTGGCTGTTAATTAGAGATAAGCTTCTCATGGCCTTTCTTGCCTGGGCTTGTTATGAACCATGCTCCTCAGGTCTCAGCTTCTAGACTAACAAGGATTACAGGTGTGAACCACTGGTATCTAGCACTGGATATGATCACTAATGCCAAACAGGACTCCCAACAAGGAACAAATCTGAATCCTCAACTCTCGAGTATTCTATTTCTGGCCAATGCTCACTTTTGGCCTGGGCGCTGTCCCTGAGCTCTTCAGCTCAAGCCTAGTGCTCTACCACTGAGCCACAGCGCCACTTTCAGTTTTCTGGTGGTTAATTGGAGATAAGAGTCTCACCAACTTTCCTGCCTGGGCTGACTTTTCAACCACAATCCTCAGATCTCAACCTCCTTAGTAGCTAGGATTACAGGTGTGAGCCATCAACACTCAGCTACTTCTGAGGTGTTCTAAAAAGCTGTCTGCCAATGCACAGACCCAGGCTCTCCTCATCAGGGGTCTTCACTGATTTTCTTACTACAATCTTTTGACATTGTGAGCATATAGCTCAGGCCTGTAATTCCATCCACTGGGGAGCTGAGATAGCCCAGGCAGAACAGGCCATGAGACCCATTCTCAATCCATAGCTGGATGCAGTAGTGCATGTCTACTATCCCAGGAGTCTGGGGCTAGATTTGGGAGGATTTTGGTTCCAAACCAGTCCTGGCAGACTGTGAGTCTGCATCTGTATGGACATGGTGACATGGATTTCTCTTCCTTGTCGCTATGGAAACCTAAAAGAAGTGACTGTTTGGGGCTGGAAGGATGGCTCAAGCAGCTTGGCAAAAATGCCACACGAGAGCAGGAGTTCAGAGTTCAACCACTCGTACAGGATGAACAACCACAACAAAAAGCCACAGTAACCCCAAAGAAGGTGGGCCAAATGGAAGGGCGATGTCTTACACCTATAACAAGGTAAAGAGACACACAGTTGGGGAATGGCCCTAAGTGCTCACAGCCCTGGTGGGCCACCAGGGAGAGGCCAGAGGTGACCGGTACTCAGGGACCGAGTTCCACCGAGGCCAACACAGCCACGAGCCTGGCTTCTTGGCTCTCCATTTCAAAACAGAAAAGGTGCAGGGAAAGGTAGAGCCACGTGTAAAGCCCTTCCAGACGCATTTCCCACGGGAACACAGAGCTCCCCACTGTCATGGTGGCCAACGCTGCGTGGGCGAGGCTCCAGGGCCCCCAGCTCCCCATCCTGCCCTGCACATTCGGCTCACACCGCCGCCTGAGCCCACGGGGGAGGGGCTTTGTGGGCAGGAGGCTGATGAGAGCCCTGCCTGCTCCTCCCGTGCCTGTTCCTCCCGTGCTCACGCGAGTGGGGCTCTTCCTTGATCATCACTAACTTAACACAAAGAAGCCGGGCGCTGGTGACTCACGCCTGCAATCATAGCTACTCAGAAGGCTGAGATTTAAGGATTGAGGTTCAAAGCCAGCCTGGGCAGGAAAGTCTGAGACTCTTATCTCCAATGAACCACCAGAAAACTGGAAATGGTGCTGTGGCTCAATGTGGTAGAGTGTTAGCCTTGAACAAAAAAGCTCAGGGACAGCATTCAGGCCCCGGAGTTCAATGTTGACAAATGACGAAACAAAATAAAAAAACCCGAAAAACCTAGGAAAGAAATAGCAGAGCAAACAAAGGGCTACTACACTAAGGAAGCGCTAGGCAGGCAGCTGCTGGGACCAGCCCTGCCCGGAGCGTAAACACAGGACAGGGGCTTTGTCTTGGGCATTTATTGCATGGCTTCGTATGAATGAAGTGACAACTGAGCGTGTCCGGTCCTGGCCCGCTAACGGCAGACCTTGCTAGGGTTTCCAAGGACACAGCAGGTAGGTAGGGCGGCACTGGGTACTCACTCTCTCTTTGGACCTGCTTGCAGTCTTCACGCTAATGATGGGCTCGCCTCTTGACCTGTCCATCATCACAGTGCGCTCTGCAACTCGGCTTCCTTAGAGACAAAGCGCAGTGGTGATAAGCACCAGGGCCGGGGCAGAGCTGAGGCCTTGAAGCCTGGCAGAACGGCGCTGAGCCAGGTCACTGGCCTGGACTTAATCCCATGCCATGAGGCTTTCTTCCGCCAACCTCCACAACTTGCCCCTCATCTTCCTGCCAGCCAGCTTTTTTTGTTGTTTTTGTCAGTCCTGGGGCTTGAACTCTAGCCTGGATGCTGTTCCTAAGCTCTTCAGCTCAAGGCTAGTGCTCGCTCTATGAGTTGAGCCACAGAGCCACTTCCAGTTTTCTGGTGGTTTACTGGAGATAAAAGTCTCATGGACTTTCCTGCCTGAGCTGGCTTTGAACCACGATCCTCAGCCTCCTGAGTAGCTAGGATTACAGACGTGAGCCCCCAGGGCCCAGCTTTCCTGCCAGCCTTTGGAGGCGACTCCAATCACCCCCACCAGGCTTTGTTTCTTCTTGGGGTGAGGTGGGGAAGTCCTGCCATACCCCACCCCGAGCCCCACACAGATACAATGGTACCACAGCCGTCAATGGGAGCTGCTAGGCACTCCAGCGAGGTTAACTCTGAACTGCTGGCTAAGCAAGCCCGCCCCAGCCCCCGCTGGCTGCCTCCACCATACAGTGACTGTGTCTAGCTGACAGACTCAAGATGGAGTTGCTTCACAAGGAACCAGAGGGACATGCTCTGGAAAATGCCAGCGCTGGAGGCAGGGGCCCAGGCCATACAATCCATGGCCCTCAGCTCCTCATGGACGCCGCCCAGCCTCTCCCCATGAGGAAACACTCATCCAGGTCACAATAGCTCGCTGCCCTGAATCCTTCCGCACGCGGCCTGTCCGGGGCCCTTACCAGGCTGCCCCACATCCCGAGAGCTCAGAGCCGACTTACCTGACTTGGCGACTCGAGGTGGACTGGGAGGGCCTGGCTTCAGCTCATCTTGCTCGTTCTCTTCCTTTTTAATGTCTTCAGGCTTTTTTTCCTCCTTTTTCTCAACTTTGTCTTCCTTCTTGATGACAATTCTATTTGAAAACACAGCTTATCAAAGGCTGGTCCCCTAGATTCTGGCAGGAGCAGCCCCAACATGAGTCCAACCCCCCAGAAGCAAGCGAGGAACGCCAGCTCTCGCTCCTCGCCCCTGCTGGCTGAGGCCACTGCGAGGTTACAAGCAGGGACTGGAAGCTTCCCCTCCTCAGCACACTTTTGCTCGTCTGTTCTTTTGAGACAGGGCTTCAACTATGTAGCACAGGCTGGCCTTCAACTTGCAAACTTGTTTCAGACTTTCAGGTACTGCAGGCTAGCCACATCATTATCAGGCAAAAAAGGATTTTTCTTATTAAGAAAACAAGAGAAGAAACACTGCTAGGAATGGTGGTGTATGCCTATAATCCCAGCACTGACAGAGAAATCAGGAGTTTGATGCCACTCCAGGATATACAGAAAGATGTCTCGGACAATAAGGAAAACAAACCAATAAAACAGGGAAAAACTGTGGGACTCAGCTTGACTTGTGTGCTTCCCAAGTTTAGTGGCACATACGCCTGTAATCCTAGCTACCCAGGAGGCTGAGATCTGAGGATCATGGTTCAATGCCAGCCCAGGCAGAAAGTCTGTGAGACTCTTATCTCCAATAAACCAGCAGAAAACCCGAAGTGGCGCTGTGGCTCAAGAGGTAGAGTAGCTGCTAGCCTTGAGCTGAAGAGCTCAGGGACTGCGCCCAGGCTCAGAGTTCAAGCCCCACGACCAACCAAAAAAAAAAAAAAATCCAAAACACCAACTATAAAAAAACCTTCCTCAGGGGCTGGGAACGTGGCTCAGTGGTAGAGTGCTTGCCCAACATGCATGAAGCCCTGGGTTCGACTCCTCAGTACCACATAAACAGAAAAGGCCGGAAGTGGCTTTGTGGCTCAAGTGGTAGAGTGTGAGCCTTGAGCAAAAGAAGCTCAGGGGCAGTGCCCAGATGCTGAGTTCAAGCCCCTAGGCTGGCAAAAAATACCCCTCCCAAAACAAAAACAAACCTATATTCAGGTTGAGGATTTAGATGAGTGTAAGAACTACAGGCCCTTGCTAGGTGCCGGTGGCTCACACCTGTAATCCTAGCTACTCAGGAGGCTGAGATCTGAGGATCGAGGTTCAAAGCCAGCCTGGGCAGCAAACTCCGTGAGACTCTTATCTCTAATAAACCACTCGAAAACCGGAAGTGGAGCTGTGGCTCAAATGGCAGAGCGCTTACTTTGAGCTGAAGAGCACAGGGACAGCACCCAAGCCTAGAGTTCAAGCCCCATGACCGACCAAAAAAAAGAACTACCAGGCCCTGAGTTCTGTCCTCAGCACCATGACACAAACAGCAAATCCCCCACTCCTCACGAAGACCAATCAAGCCTTTGTTTCATACAGCAAGTAAAAGACACAGATTTTCTTAAAATGAAAGAGAAGGCTAATAAAGGTGGGGAAAAAAAAGGAAATTGCTTTCTATGTCCATATAGAAATATCACAAAGAAAACACTGGGTACAATTAGAGGGGGGGAGGGAGCGCGAGTGAGCGAGCACGCGCCAAAGGAAACTTGCCTAATCGCACAAGGAGGCGTTTGGCTGCCTGGGCGGTGAAGGCCACTGGCTGATGGGGCTGCGTCTCCTCCTACACAGTGCATAGCCTCACAGGCTGCCCGCTGGCCCACAGTGCAGAGCACACTGCGTGCAAAACACCAGCTCTGGGAGGTCACACAGTCCATGGCTAGATGGGTCCCAGGATCAATCAAGCTGTCCCAAACAGCTGCCTGAGCACCCTACGCTCTGTAGCACCCGCTGTGCTAGGGTTGAACAATTCCAATGACTCTGAGGAAGACTGGAAAGCACACCTTTCCATACCCCTTTCCAGCTCCTGGTGATGTTGTCCAGCAAGACGTGCTCTAAAACTGAGCCAAGCCCCCAGCTTTTTCCCGTTCAGTTGTTTCAGGAAAGCTCTGTTGTTTTTGCCTAGGGCCGGCCTGGACCAATCACAATCCTACCTATGCCTTTTGCATAGCAAGAACTACAGGGGCACCCCAGGACACTCAGCTTGCTTGTTGAGATAGGGTCTTGATCACTTTGCCCAGTCTGGCCTCAACCCTGGATCTTCCCACTTGCCACTTCCTGGGTAGCTCAGATTTCAGGAGGCAGCTACTACAGCTGGCTTGGAAATCACATCCTTAAAACCTGACAATAGCATGACAATAAACAGAGAGGTTTTAAGATTTCCCATTAGTGGACGGATGGTGAGACCGAGGCCCTCTCAGCAGAGCGTGGACGGGATGGACCTGGCAGCCCGTCACGATGGTAGTTGGCTTTCGGAGCACTGCCAGTTACACCACCAGAGCCCACCTGCTCAGACCACAGCCCGAGGAGATGAAAGCAGAGCCAGACAGGCCTGATTTGGAAGATCTGTGCTCATTTCTGTTTGTGTTGAGGACAGAAATCTTTGGCCTTTACAAAAACAGTGCCAAAGACCCCAGGTTCCTGTGCCACTGTGCCACGGTCCCCAAGCACGGAAGGAACGAAGCATGCCTAGGCGCTTTCAATTTCTCACATCAACATCGAGTCGCACAGTGACATCTGTCAGATACAGTGCGAACTGAGCTGCTGGTGGACAGACCCACGGCCTGGCAGTGTGAGAGCGAGCTCGATTTCTGAGGTCAGGAGGACATGGCGGTGTGCACAAGCAGGAAGCTGAGCACTAAAGAGCCCCCTGCCCAGGGGAGGGAGCCCGTTTTTGTTTGTCAGTCATGGGGCCTGGGTGCTGTCCCTGAGCTCTTTTGCTCAAGGCTAGCGCTCTACCACTTTGAGCCACGGTGTCACTTCTGGCTTTCTGATGGTTAATTGGAGATAAGAGTCTCCTGGACATCCCTGCCAACCTCAATCTTCAGGATCTCAGCCTCCTGAGTGGCTAGGATGACAGGCGTCAGCTTACTTCTCCACTTTGATCTCCACGGGGTGGTGCCGATCAGCACTGGGGAGCCGCTCCTTCTTCACCTCACACTCCTTCCGCTCTGACAGCTTCTTGCCTGCAGCTTCGTTTTTGGCCTAGACCGTCAGAGACAGCAATGGGACAGTGGGGTTTAGAGCAGGGCTGCTGGCTGGAGGGTGCCCTGTGTCTGCAGGGACGGGCAGCCCCTCACCTTCTCCACGGAGATCATTCTCCCATGCAGCTCGGTCCGGTGCAGATGGCCAATACACCTGGTTGCTTCATCAGAAGTCGCCATGGTGACAAACCCATAGCACCGCGCCCCAGGACTGCGGGCGTTGGTCACCACCTTGGCCCCGACGACCTCAAAGAAAAAGGGCACTCACTCTTTTTCTGAGTAAGCAGCACCCACAGAGAGCTGTGGGCTGACATAAGGAAGACCTGAAGGGAGGGTGGACACTGCCAGGTTTGCATGCTCGATACCAGACTGGCTCAGCACCACAGCCCCAACTGAGCCCTATGCTTGCTTCTGCCTCCTGCCTGAGACCCTAGGCCATGGGAAGGGAGAGGAAACTAAGGTAGGTTCCACCTGGGGTGAGACTGTGACAGAATAGGGCACAGACCAAGAGAAGCAGAGGCATAGGGCCCCTGGGAAACTCTAGGCTATAGCACAGATGAAGAACTGGCCATTCATGGGGTTCGGAAGGATCTGTCCTGGAGTTTCAGAGCCTTTCTGAGGTACAGGCTTCACCCTTGGCACCTGGCTGTGTCCCAGGAAACACTTGGGTGCTCACAGGAATAGGAGGGAGCCACACCACTAAAGCTGTGAGGATGGGGTGGGGAGAGCCCCTCCCATTGGGCACAGAGAAAAAGGAGGAAGGACTACCCTGGGGAAGGAAAGATGGCTGGATGGCAGCCTAAACCAGGCTAGAGGTACACTGCAGAAAAGCATGGCTGGGGAGGGAGGGAAGAGAGTGGGAAAGATCCAAACAGCCCTCAGGGGGTGGCGACAGGAGGATGGTGACCTGGAGACCAGCCTGGGCTTCAGAGCCAGTTCCTGTCTCAAAAGAGACAAGAGACTCAAAGCAAGTGCCGAAGGCAGGGCGGCAGGAAAAGCAGGGCTGCAGAGGCCCGGGGACGTGGAGGGAGAGCCACAGGCCAAGGTGCCCGGGCCAGAACTGAAGGCAACCAGTGCTCAGCCCAGAATACAGCAGCAATGCATTGAGACACTCACAGAAAGAAAAGGATGGCAGGGCTTCCCAAAGACTGGGGGAGGGGCAGGGCACCACGCTGTCCGTGAATGAGCCGAGAGCTGCCTGCGCACACACAATCAGTCTACTGGATCGGTGAGACAGGGTGACGCCAAACATGCCACAGGCACCCAAGGCTCAGCACCCAAGGAATGACAAATGTGGACCAAAGAAGGAAATGAACAGGCCCAACCCTGAGCACCAATGTCCCTTGGGCACAAAGAGCAAAGCAGAGTGGAGCGGAGCAGCAGCGGGTGTGGGGAGGCTGGGCCCTGGGTTGACAGGGGGCTCAGGGAACAGCCCACGTCAACCAACCATCCTCATGAAGGCAGCACTTCAGGCGAGAAACAACACCCAAAGAGCGTGCCCACACACCTCACCATCCCCCGCTGTCCACGGGGCACAGCTTCTCAGAGCACCCATATGTCCTCATCTACAGCCCTGAGCCTCCTCCAAACACCAGTTCCTGGGCAAGGAACCTGTTGCTGAGGTGAGACTGCCCAGTGGCTTCCCAACAGCCAGGGCCGCCCCAGCCCCGCTGTCTCAGCCCGACGCGGGTCTGGAGCCACTGATCCTAGGCTATTTGTCGGACGACGCCATGTTAGTCCTGCTCAACACATCAACAGGTAATTGCTCAGCACAAGTGACAATTAACTCTCCTGGGGACTGGCGTAGGAGCACACCTGAGCAACAGACAGGCTGGAGCCCCACTTTCCCAACACCTAGAAGCCAGAGCCTTCCCCTGGGGGCCAGGCCCCCGCACGGAGCACGGTGTGTCGTCATCAGGCAGCACTGCTAACTCCAGGTTAGCACGGAGCTGGACTGCCCATTCCGTCCAGTTCCTACACAAGCTTTGAAACCACCAAGCTCTCCCCTTGCGAGGTGAGTGAGCAGTACACGGGCGATTCACTTCCAATGCTACCGCACTGCATCTGTCAACTATGCACCTATGCTGCCACCACAGAAAAGCCGCGTGTGCCCACACAGGCAGAACGGGGCTGGGCCTGCCAGCCTGTGTTTGCATTCACAGAGGCTGTGTGTTCACACAAGTCAGAGCCACAGGCCCCAGCAGCAGCACTACACATCTGTACCCACTGAGCAGCGGGGACACAGGTCATGCTGGCGGCCATCGTGACGTCACCAGTTTGCTCCAGGCCAGCAAGCCCGGCCTGCTCCGCCCGGTAAGATCCTATGAAACTGACAGCAAGAACTAAGCTCAAGGCTCTTTGTGGAACACATACCTTCCCATATTTGCTGAAAAGGTTCTTTAGGTCTGTGGCACGTGTGGAAGAGGACAGCCCACTGACCCACAGGTTGCGTCCAGAACTGCTGCTCATGCGGCCTGCTGGAAGGGAGGTAAGGACACTTCAGCGTGAGATGGAGACACGACGTCACAGAAGCCCCCCTACTCAGCCCGTCTTGCCCTCCCCCCCCTTCTGCCTTCACTTCTGTCAGCACAGGGGTAGGGACAAGGAGGGTGCACAGCAGAAGCTGGGGATGGGGTCCAGGGCCTGGAGCATGCCCAGCAAGTGCTCCCCAGGCCATACCTCCACCTTTGTAAGCCCACTGGAAGACTGGTGATGCTCTGCACTCCAGCAGAACAGCAGTGTGGCTGCGCAGGGGTTAGCTGGAAGTGGCCAGAGGTGGCCTGTGCTAGACTGCTGTCACTAAATGTCCCCAAGGGAGCCTGGCTGAAACATCTGATCACTGAGACTTCTCAGGAGCCCACGTGGCTCACACAGCACGTGGGGCAGATGTGACTGGCTCACAGGGGGACACCTGAGGCCCCGCCTCCCCAGCCCCTCGCTACTCAAGGGGAACCCTACCTTTCTCCTCCTTAATGATTGGCTTTATATCTTTTTCTTCCTTAAAAAAGCTAGAAACAAAAGTTGACGTTATTCACGCATGAAAAAAGAAGAAAGGGAACTAAATTAAAAGTTATGATTTATGAGCTAAAACTGAATACCTACCAGAAAATTAGTCTGAAATAAAATTTCGACAGACACCTTTGCAAGTTTCTATTGGAAAATCTGACCCCAAAAATGCAATGTCAGATTCATGAAAGTAGATTTGATTAAGCTGAAGATAACAATTACCAATTTAGGAACACAACCATAGCAGGTTGGGAATGGAAAAAGAATGAAATCGCCCATCAAAAATGCACAAATAAAACATCGTTTGGAAGTAATCTAGAATTTCAGCAGTGTGGCTGGCCAACTGCGGACAGAGAACCAACAGCTTTATGCGTGTCATCATTAAATGACCAATGAAAAGGAGATAGCGTCTGGTCTAAAACTGAGAAACAACAAACCTCATTTTCTGATCAGCGCCCTCACTGGTTGAGGACTCTTTAGGAGCCGGAGGGACTTCATTACAAGCTTCAAACTCAAACTTCTTCACGTCTTCTTTGCTATCTCTGGGCTCGGGGCTCGGGGCTTCCGTGGGCGCTTCTGCCAGTTCCTGGCTACAGGCCTCCGCCAGCTCGGGGGCTGCGCTACTCTGCTCAACTGGCTTCTCCTGCCCTACAGGCTCACAGTCCGTCCTCGCGCCTTCGCCTCCTGTCTGCTCCACGGGCTCCCTTTTCACTACCGCTAACAGGGTGTCTGCCTCGCTCCACTGAGCGCGCGGTGACTCGTGGGCCACTGCTAAATCTCCCTCCTCCTCCTCCTCCTCCTCCTCAAGCTCTTCCTCCTCCTCCTCCTCTTCCGGATGGGCGCTGCCAAAAAGGTCCTCTTCCTCCGCCAGCTTTCTGTCTGGCCCCACGCTACTTGTATCCTGTGCAAATGGCTGCTCCAGCTCGGAACCTTCTTCTTTTACTGGCTCAGATTTACAAGTTTCCCCCAAAATGTCGAGTATTTTCTCATTTTCTACGGATTTAACAGGAATAGAATGGCACAAGGTTTAATTACCAGGGAAATAAAGCAATCACAAATGCGGAACGGGCACGGCTGCCACACTAACACCAAGAGAACCGCTAGCTACACAGAGATTGGAAAACCCGCGGTGCACACAGTGACACTGTACACTATCTGCGCTTGCTGCCACCGGCCGCTAGGCTGCGCTAGGCTATGTTATGGGGAAAGGAAAGACCCCCAGCCTAAAGGCTAAAGCACGGGGCTGCTTCTCAGGAGTCTTCAAGGATTGTCAAGGATGGGTCTTCCCACTTCTTCCCAGTGTGCAGGTGTGGGGTGCATGCTCCAAGGGCAAGTTCTTCCTTTGTGGAGGGGGTGGCGGTCAGTGCAGTGAGACAGAGCAGCTCTTCTGTCGGCAGGAGACAAATGCAGTCCGGAGGGGCACAGTACGTTGGGAGTTGGCGTGGGGAGATTCGGCTTCTTCTTCTGGGATCCAGTCCCTTGCTGATTAAGGGCCCTGGCGCCAGCCTTAACCTGCCTCACCTGCCTCAGTGACAAGTACTGCAGCGCCATATCACAAGATCTGTTTGATGTGTGGCAGCACTGAGGGCTGAGGGACTAATGTGGCCCGCCACGTGGTCAGGGGTGCACACCAGCACGCGTGACCAGTGCGCCCGGCTCAGGGCCAGAGCAGTACTTGCACAGATCTGGTGATACGAATGGGTTTCCAATCTCTGACCCTCTCATGGTCTGCTCTGTCCACCACTAGGGTCAAGGACGAGACCACAACACAGCTTATTTAAAATAGATACACCGATTTCAACCTTCCCAACCCCAATGCCGCATGGCCATGATCAGTACCTGGCTCCAGGGGCGGCTCCTCAGCATCCTGTGAAAGAGAAGAAAGCAGCAGATCATAGTTCATGTGCAGCGGTGGGACCGCTTTCTACCCCTTCCACTCTGACAGCCCCAGGCGTGGGCACACCACCAGCTCCTGGGGCATCCTAAGTTGGCATGATGCCCGAATGCTTCCACTGAGCAGACCCTTCTAGGAGCTGCACAGGTCCCTGGTAACTTCCATCACAGCCAGTTGGAGAAGAAAGCCATTTTCCCAAGCCCACTGGCTAGGTAGACCTAAGACCTTTCCCTCCACCCCCAGGAGGCCTCGCGAGGTTTCCTGCTGGGTGGCAGCAGGGCAGCCTGTTCTCCAGTTGCTGCCCCTTTGTCTTGGGCTTCACCCCATCCTTTCCACTGCACTCCATGCCACACCAGGCCACAGGTTCTTCTGAGAACCTTCCAGGTACTTCTGCAAGTCCTGTGACACTTCGCTACAGGCTCTGGACTACATTCTCCACCCTGCTATGCACTGTGCCCGTTGCCCACAGCATCAATGCCCCAGGCATCATTTCTGTGGACAGGTGTGAGTGTGTCAAAGGCTCTTGTGGAGGCCTGACATTCGGGAAGAGAATGGTGGAACGCGCCACTTTTAGCTAGCTGGGGGGGAGGAGGGCATGCTTCTGTAGGGCAGCAGGAGATAATCTTGCATTGAAGCTTGGGCTTGGCCTCAGTAACCAAAGGGGATTCATGAACTCACACACGCATGCGCTTCTTTCACACTGTGAAAACCAAGTTCCTACCACACTCCCAGCATTACGAAGGCACATGGAAAAAGAACTTACTGGAGTTATGGTGAGGTGCAGCAGCGAAGCATCCGAGGTATTCTCAAAACCCTGCCCGTCCACCTGAAAAAGGACGGGCAACATTACTTGATGGAGAGCAGGAGTGGACGCCAAGGCCAACACGATCCCTTGCTGTTCTCTAGGCAACTTTCAGAGGGCCCTTCACCCCCACAACCATGGCTAGCTGTGCCCGTCACAAGCCACGGCAGGGTTCAGGTGCTGGCTATGGAGGGAGGAAATGGACTCCCAGGTCTGCCTCTCCCCACCCCACCCCCCCGCAACCACAGTGCAGCTCCATGCCAGCAAGTTCCCACCCCCACAGTACTCAAGTGGGTGCTTTCTTTTGGGAGATAATGTGTGCACACACACACACACGCTTTCTCCCTGCTCCCCCCACCCCTCTCTCACGCACGCGTGCACGCAAGGGTTTGGTGCCGGTACTAGGGCTTGAATTCTGGGCCTAGGTGATCTCTACCATTTTGGGCCACAGCTTCACTTCTGGCTCTCTTTGTTTTAATGGTTAGAGACAGTCTCATGGATTTTCCTGCTGGCTTTGAACTGTGACCCTCAGGTCTCAGCCTCCTGCGACCGAGGATTACAGGTGTGAGCCCCTGGCTCCTGGCCAGGCTACGTTATTCAAAACACATTTGACAAAACCTTATCCTCTATTATTACTGAACAAAAGGGGAATTGGTCATCTTAAAAGTTTTTTTTTTTTTTACCAGATTGTGAGTCTTCTCCTTTTCCTCTTCAGTGTAGGTGGCTGCTAGGCAGGCACTCTACCCTAGGGTACACAGGGTTTCTTTCTTTAGCCCTGGCTGGCCTGGAACCCTCCTGCCTCAGCCTGGGATCATAGGCAAATGCGACCGTGCCCAGTATTGATACCCTTACCCTTTTTCTCCTAGATTTGAACCCAGGACCTGGATGCCTCTACCGAGCTGCTCTGAAGAGAAGCAGCTTCTAGCCGCCCCAGGCCAACTGCAGTGTGGCTGGAGCTGGGACGTGGACTGAGCCCTAGGTGGTATTTCCTACATTCACTTGAGTATAGCCACTGTCACCAGTGGCTGCTTGACACGGGTGACATGGGCAGGAGCGGAGGACAACACCGCTGTTGGTCTGTGCCAATATCAGCTACCTCACTGTACAAAGTTACAAACCATCTCTGACTCCTCTCTCTACCCCTATCTGCTGAAGAGAAAGCCTTCACAAACCGCAGCGCCCACTCTTTTATGTCTGGCGAGGGCTAATGCTCACTGGAGGTGTCATTAACAGCTCTCCCGGTTGTTTAAGTCAGTCTGCCTGGACCCGATCTAGACACGACTGTGCCGGGCCTGGCTGGGCGCCCAGTCAGCAGCCCTGGCCGGCTGCTCCCACAGCCGCGTGGCTCCAAGTTACCTACAGCGTGTCCCGGGAGCTGCGCTGGAAGCCGTCCCAGCTGCGCAGCCACGTACTCTTTACTGTCACAGAAGGAGTCGAAGGTGCTGCCGCCGCTGTCCCCGACGTCGGGAGCCCTGGTGTGCTCGGCCTTGGGCCTGGCCAACATGCTCACGTCCACCAAGTCCGTGGGCTGCAAGGCCCCCAGGCTCGCTTCACCGCCCTCCTGGAGGGGAGTCAGGGAGGCTGTGACCCCAAAGCTCAGCAGGGACCGCTGCCACTGCCACCTCCTTCCCCGTGCCCTGCCTACCTGCCCATCTCTAGAGTCTTCTTCCAGGCCGTTGTCTTCGGTGCCTTCCTCTCCCACCTTCTGTCCTAATTACAGAGTAATTGTTCAGTCAGGTAACACTCAGCCCTCACACGGCTCACGGAGGACCAGAGTTCCACGCTGGTAGGCACGTCTGGCAAGGACAACTACAAGTGGCGTTCTTCTGTCACAAGCCACTTGACCTCACGCAGAGCCAGGGGTGAGCTCTGCCAGGGCAGCGAGCCCCATGAGTGCAAGCATTCAGACCGCTCACCGGGGCTGAGGGTGTCACCCCCTCACTCCACACTGGGACACACAGCCCAACACCCACATCCACTTCCATCAGAGGACTGCGCAGGGCACGGTTGGCAAACATAAAGCCCCATCCACCACACACACACCCTAACCAGCCTGGACCGTGTGCTTCACCACATCCTACCACCCCACACCCCACCACTCTTCAACTCAGCAACTGCTTTTGTGAGGCCAAAACTCCAAGGCCGCCCTGGGTGGGAAGCTCGCTGGCTTCTGTAAAGGCAGAGAGACTGCACAGAGACACACCCGGACCCCCTGGGAAGCGGGCCTGCTGAGACCTTAACAAGACAGGGGGATAAGGTGCCTGAGCCTGTAACTACCTGGAGCCAGCCCAGGAGCTGAGCAAGACTCCACCTCACAAAACAAGTGACTTAGTGCAGCAGTGTGTGCCTGCCACCCCAGCGCTGAGACACGGCAGATACAGACGACTATGTGCCAAAGCTGATCAGGAGAAACAACTCTAGCAAAAAGTGCTGGAGGTGTGGTTCAAAGGGCAGAATGTTTTTTTCCAGTACTGTGTGTGTACTTATAGCCTCGCCACCCAAAAGGAAACCAAATGAAGACACATTTGCATATATAGGTGGCACAGCAGCTGTTTGGCAGGGTTGGCACCAACACCTAGTAAGAGTGCCTATGGAATGCTCACCACTACGCCACAAAGCACGTGTCAGGCAGGAAGCAGTGTCAATACCATTAGATGTCACAGGGCTGGCAACCTTTCAAAAACTATTGTTTTCAAGAACAGGAAAAATCACCAATCAAAACAAACTCTCAAATTGCATTCACAAAAGGTGTATGTGTGGTGTCCACACCCACAATTCCAGCCCTTGGGAGGCAGCTGCAGGAGGTCGGACTTAATAGGCCAACTTGGGCTGGGTGATGTTGCAAAACTGCCTCAGTTGTATAGGGGCGCCCAGTCAGAGCATAGCCCAGGGGATAATAACCCTCAGACTGGGGCTGGGAAGGTGGCTCAGTGGTAGAGCGCTTGCCTCGCATACACGAGGCCCTGGGTTCCAACTCCTCAGCACCACATAAGCAGAAAAAGCCGCAAGTGGCACTGTGGCTCAAGTGGTAGAGCGCTAGCCTTGAACTGAAGAGCTGAGGGACAGCACCCAGGCTCCACTACTGACAACAACAACAAACAAACAAAACAAAAAACCCTCAGACTCAGCAGTGGCCTTCTACTAAGATGCTTCTATCCTGCTCTCATAAGGCAGAAGCTTAGCAGCTGCATACTTGCTTAGCAAATGCAATGTCTGTGCAGCACCCCCATACAACTGAAAATAAGAATACCACTGCACCAGGCACAGGTCCAGCTACTCAGGAGGCTGAGATCTCAGGGTCATGGCTCAAAGCCAGCGCTGGCAGGAAAGTCTGTGAGACTCTTTTTTTCCAATTAACCACCAAAGAGATGGAAGCAGAGTTGTGGCACAAGTGGTAGAGCACTAGTCTTGAGTAAAAAATTCAGAGGCAATGTCCAGGAGCTGATTTCAACCCATAAATACCCACACCCACCCACCCAAACTCAAGAGCATTTCAAGCACTCCCATTCAAGTGAACAGCACCCCCAGCTAAGGGGTGTTTTGTCTGCAAGTGGTGGTAATAGTGCAGACATCCTGAGCAGTAATGTGGTGAACCTTACACTTGGGTTTGAACTCAAGGCCTGATGGGCTCATTCCATTTGCTTAATCAGCTGATGCTTTACCACCTGAGCCATGCCTCCAACCTAACTTTTTATCAGTAATTTTAGAGATGGAGTCTCAAGGACTTTTCTGCCTGGCTGGCTATGACTCACAATTCTCTCAATCTAAGCCTCCTGGGTGGTCAGGATCAGAGGTGTGAACCATTGGCACAGAACCTGAACCGCACACTTCTAAATGACTAGATGCAATCAAAGATCTCCCCTCCCCCACTTTTGGTCAGTCATAGGCCTTGAACTCAAGGTCTGGCCCTGTTCTTAAGCTTTTATGCTCAAGGCTATCGCTCTACTAGTTGGAGCCACAGCTCCACTTCTGTATTTTTTTTATGGGTGGTCGATTAAAGAGTCCCACAGGCTTTCCTGACCAAGCTGGCTTTGAACCATAATCCTAGATCTCAGTCTCCTGATTAGCTAGAATTACAGGCATGAGCCAGAGTCAGGATTCACTTTGCTTTTTGATAGTTAATTGGAGATAAGAGTCTCACTGACTTTCCTGCCCAGTTTGGCTCTGAACTATGATCCTCAGATCTCAAGCCTCCCGAGCAGTTAGAATTACAGGCATGAGTCAGCAGTGCACCTGATCCACACCTAAGATTATTGAACTATATGGATGAATTGTTCCCACAAGAATTCACAAATAGGGCTGGGAAGGTGGCTCAGTGGTAGAGTGCTTGCCTTGCATGCATGAGGCCCTGGGTTCCATTCCTCAGCACCACTTAAGCAAAAAGCCACAGGTGGTGATGTGGCTCAAGGGGTAGAGTGCTAGCCTTGAGCTGAAGAACTGAGGGACAGCGTCCAGGCCCAGAGTTCAGGCCCCACAAACGACAAAAAAAAAAAATCACAAAGAGGGCTGGGAATGTGGCTTAGTGGTAGAGTACTTGCCTAGCATGCACAAAGCCCTGGATTCCATTCCTCAGTACTATATACACAGAAAAAGCCAGAGGTGGCTCTGTGGCTCAAGTGGTAGAGTGGTAGCCTTGAGCAAAAGCAGCTCAGGGGCAGTGCCTAGGCCCTGAGTTCAAGAGCCAGGCCTGCTTCCCTGCACGCCCCCCCTCCCCCCCCAAAATTCACAAATAGGGCTGGGAAGGTGGCTCAGTGATAGAGCGCTTTCCTTGCATGCATGAGGCCCTGGGTTTGATTCCTCAGCACCACATAAGCAAAAAGAAAAAAGCCAGAAGTGGTGCTGTGGCTCACGTGGCAGAGCACTAGCCTTGAGCTAAGAGCTGAGGGACAGCACCCAGGCCCAGAGTTCAGGCCCCACGACTGGACCCCCCCAAAAAATTCACAAATATGCTTTCAGGGTTGGGGATAAAGCCAAACAGATAGCCCTGAGTTCCATTCCCTGTAAACCCCAAAAGAGTAAGGGTGACTTAACATTTTCATAGAAGTAGAATTTTTTTTGGGGGGGGTGTCGGTCATGGGGCACTGTTCCTAAACCCTTGCTCAAGGCTAATACTCTACCACTTTGAACCACAGCTCTGCTTCTAGTTTTTGAGTGGCTAATTGGAGAGAAGAGTCTCAGGAAGACTTTTCTGCCCTGGCTGGCTTTGAACCATGACATGCAGATCTCAGCCTCCTGAGTAGCTAGGATTACAGGCGTGAGCAACCAGTGCCTGGCTAGTGGCCTTTTTTTTTTTTT